GGGCGGCGCGGCGCGCGGGTGGCCGCGGGGCTGCGGCGTGGGGTGAGCGCTGCTGGTCCTGGGGACCGTCGCGCTGTTCCCACGCGGGTGCGTGGCGCTGCACTCTGCCTCCGCGCTGCGCTCACATGGGGAGGGGGTTCCTGCCAGGGAGCCTCCCTCACCTGCCTGCACTGCACTGCCCTGCACCACCGTCATGGTATGGCAGGTGGATTTCCTCGGCGGGGGAAAAAAAAAAAAAAAAAAAAAAAATAAAGTCTCCTCCACCCTGAGGTGGAGAGACCTTCCTCACCCCCTTCGGGTACCGGAGCCTCATCGCATAGCAGCGTTTCTCCAGATCCGGTGTTGGCCCCGGCTCTGCGCTGAGGTGACAGTGCCCAGATTGCGTGGGCAGACATGTCTCTGGGGGCACCTCGGCTGTCCCTGCTGGCCGGCCCCGAGACAAAGAGAGCGGGACAGCGAAGGAAGGGACCTTGGAGGCGAAGGGCGGTGTGAGGCAAGGGTGTGCCGGGAAGGAGCCCTCGCTAACCGCAAAAATGTTTCCTCCATCCTCAGCAGCTGGTCACACGGGGCTCTGGCCGCCCTGCATGATATTTCAGCCGCGTTTTCTCCTCCGCTGAAAGCGGGGCGTACTCCAGCTTCGAGGGATTGTCTGTCCGCAGCACCGCTTCCCACTAACGGTGCAGGGAATAGCGGGAAGAGGAACGACGGAGCAGTGGGGGGTATCGTTGCCCCCGAGCACCACATAGCTGCTTCCTTCCTTCCTTCCTATCTTCCCTCCTTTTCCTCCTCGCGAGGAAGGGCAGAGAACAGGCCTCGCTTATGTGGGCCGCGACCCTGAGCGAGGCTAACGCGCCGCTCACCCACACTTTTTTTTTTTCCTCCTCTCCCTCTGCCTGGCTAATGACGTCCACCAAGGGTAAAATGATGGAAAGGATATTCATGGGCATGATTTCCATTAAGTATCAATTAACCTGGAGCCTCAGCCATGCGTGCCCGGCGTCAAGGGTAAATGTGCATCTCATTTCCCCAGCCCTCCACGAGGAATTAAACCGGAGGCCCCGGGGCCCCGCTCTGCACGCAGAGACCGGCCCGAGGGCTGCGCGTCCGCGGAGGGGCCGGGCGCAGCGCGGGACACCGCGGGCGGCGGGAGCAATGCGCCCGCGGTTATCACTCCGCATCTGCTGCGCAGGGGAGCAGGGCGGCCCTGGCGAGCGCGCACTGGGCACGCGGAGGGGGGGGCGGGGGGCAGCGGCGGGGCTGGATCCGGGCAGGGCTGGGTGTTTTTTTTCTTGCCCGAGGAGCGGCACATGTAAAATGAAGCCAAAAGTCCCCCCTGAGCTCCCGAGCGTGCGCGCGTGTGTGTGTGCGTGCGCGGGCCGCTGTGTGCCTAATAGGAAATAGTAAAAGCAGTGAGGCAGGTCATTTGGGGAGCGATTATCCTGCAGCCCTGGTCACCGCATAGACGGCGAGCGGGGAGCGCGCGGGCGGCG